TCGGAGCTCACCCACCCCGGTGGCGCCACCCTGTCCCCGGCTCGGAGCTCACCCACCCCGGTGGCCCTGTCCCCGGCTCGGAGCTCACCCACCCCAGCGGCCCTGTCCCTGGCTCGGAGCTCACCCACCCCAGCGGCCCTGTCCCTGGCTCAGAGCTCACCCACCCCCCACCCCTGCGGCCCTGTCCCTGGCTCGGAGCTCGCCCACCCCGGCGGCCCTGTCCCCGGCTCGGAGCTCACCCACCCCGGCGGCCCTGTCCCCGGCTCGGAGCTCACCCACCCCGGTGGCGGCACCCTGTCCCCGGCTCGGAGCTCACCCACCCCGGTGGCGCCACCCTGTCCCCGGCTCGGAGCTCACCCACCCCGGTGGCGCCACCCTGTCCCCGGCTCGGAGCTCACCCACCCCGGTGGTGCCACCCTGTCCCCGGCTCGGAGCTCACCCACAAAGTCGCTGACAGCCGCCAGCTGCCCGTTCTTCTTCATGCACACGTAGCGCCCGTTGCTGGCCTTGAGAGCCACACGGCGGCCACGCCATTCCATCTCGAACATGGTGCTGGCAGAGCTGCGGAGACGGAGGGACTCAGGGCTGCCGCCCAGCCTCACAGCTGTCCGTGGCAGGACCACAGAGCCGCCCCTCCCCAGTGCCCATTCCTTTTTGTTGTTGTTGGTCGTGGGTCTTGAATTTGGTGCTGTCCCTCAGCTCTCCAGCTCAAGGCTAGTGCTCTACCACTTGAGCCACAGCACCACTTCTGGCTTTCTGAGCAGTTCTGACCCAACCCAGGTTGGCTTTGAACTGTGATCCTCAGATCTCAGCCTCCTGAGTATCTAGGATGACAGGCCCAATGCACGGTCCCAGTGGCCTGCAACAGTGGTTGCTGTGGCAGAGGTACTGATGGTGATGGTGGCGGTGGTGGGGCTGGGGTGGGAAGGGCAGGCACTCACACTTGTGTGGCTGTGGCCTGAATTCCCCCGTGGGTGACCAGGGCCCAGTAGCCCCCAATGCTGGAATAGAAGGTACATTTCTTTGTCTGCTGGTCAATCTGCATCAGGAAGGTCTCATGGTCCAGTTCTTCATCCTGATTGGCTGAGACATTGACGCCTGGAGGGGGAAGATAGGAAAGTCTCATGTCTCTTCTGGGGGCCGTGTTTGGGGTGTCTCTGAAGCCCAGGGGAGCCTGGTCTGTGCTTGGAGGTTGGAGGACGGCTTTCAGAGGGGCTGAAAGCAGGGCACTGCCACACCCACAGCAGCCTCAGGGACTCCTGATATCACTCCCCACAGCCAGACCCTCCCGCACCTGCACCCCAGCTCGCTCCTCAGTGGTGCCTTCCGGACTCTGACTCACCCCAGGCTGCCAGGTGGGCAGGGGTGGAGGGGTTCCATTCTCCCATGTACAGCCCAGGTCATAGCCAGGGTACAGGGACCAGGAAGCCCTGCCCACACATATGCTTGCCTCCTGGGGTCCCTAGGGGAGCACACAGCCGTCCAGGACTCTGGCTGAGGTTCCGGGCTTGGAGACAGAGGGGACACCCAGGTTCTGGGCTGTGAAAAGCAGCAACTATGCACACTTCCTCAGAATCTTCCCGAAAATGAATTCTGGCTCCTCCCACAAGCCACCTCCGTTTCCATGACAACTGGCTACCTTGTGGTGAGAGGTTAGACCCTCAGGGACTCCGGGTGTGTTCAGCTAAAGGGACCTGAGGCAGTGGGGGAGCAGTGCTCCATCACCTGGCGGTGGCAGTTAGCCCAACCCTCTCCACAGAGGTCATCAGGAAATGACCTTTTACCGGCTCCCAGAAGCTGACCCCAGGTGTCCTGAGCATGGACGGGCAGCTCTCCATCCGCACACTGGCACAGCGCGGGCTGGGGCCCAGATGGGCGGCAGGGAGGCCAGGCAGGCTGTCCCTCACCAGGGATGCCTGCGGGTTTGGTGAGCCAAGAGCCTTCCCGCGGGGCCAGAGCACAGCCAGGTCACAGGGCCTGGCCTGCCCCACCTCCACCTGGCTCCCAGGCCACCGGTGAGGGGCAGGTACACGTCGCCCACACGTCTCCAGGCATCTTCCAGGCACCCGCTTCTAAGTACGGGCCTGACAGTGCCAGGGCTTTGGTGGGGACTGCTGGCTTTACCCTCTCCCTTGCGTGGAAGGGGACGCTCTGCTCTGGTCGGTGGGGTGTGCATTTTCTTAGGAAGACACAGTCGGGACTCCCGGCCCTTTTCCCTGGCTTGTGTCTGGAACTGCAGGGTTTGGTGACGATGAAGGTTGGGGTGACCCAGGGGGACAGGGAGGCCCTGTGGTTGCAGAGCGGGCGGTACCACTGGGGGCCCCACGCAAGGCCCCCAGACTCACTGCTGAGTGTGGGCGTGATGCTTTCTGCTTGATAGTAACAGATGAGCTGCCGGGCTGGCAGAAACGGGCAGACCAGCCATTGGGAGAGGCAGTTAACAAGGTGCCACCGGGCCCTCGGGGGGGACAGCATGGGGCAGCCTGGCCCGGAAGGGACACACACGGAGGCCCCACTGCACTAAGACACACGGCAGACCCTACGACCCACTGCTGTGAATCAGGGCAACTGCCCCCGCCTCCACCCTGCCCCCTCTGCCCCCCAACTAACCCTGCACCTCGGCCTCACACACCCCACAGGCTGAAGAGCCACGGCACACTTCTGCCAAGTCAGCCAGAAATGACTGTGGGCGGGGAGGGGATCCCCAGCTGGAACCACACTGGGGAAGTCGAGGCAGGCCCTGGGCCTGCCCAGGGGATCCCCATCCAAGGACCACGTCAGATGCAATGTGGGCGAGGAAATAAACACAAGCCACCCCCTCCACCAGCACCAGCCTCTCACCTTCTCCCCCACAGGCCCAGTGCTAGAGGCTGAACACACGGACTTGCACATGCTCAGACAAGCTCCACAGCAGAACCAGAACCTACCTCCATCACCACCCTCACCTCCACATCACCTCCATCACCACCCTCACCTCCACATCACCTCCATCACCACCCTCACCCCCACATCACCTCCATCACCACCCTCACCCCCACCCTCATCACCTCCATCACCACCCTCACCTCCACATCACCTCCATCACCACCCTCACCCCCACCCTCATCACCTCCATCACCACCCTCACCTCCACATCACCTCCATCACCACCCTCACCTCCACATCACCTCCATCACCACCCTCACCTCCACATCACCTCCATCACCACCCTCACCCCCACCCTCATCACCTCCATCACCACCCACACCCCCACCCTCATCACCTCCATCACCCCCACCCTCATCACCTCCATCAGCACCCTCATCACCTCCATCAGCACCCTCACCTCCACATCACCACCCACACCCCCACCCTCATCACCTCCATCACCACCCACACCCCCACCCTCATCACCTCCATCACCACCCTCACCTCCATCATCACCCTCACCTCCATCATCACCTCCATCAGCACCCTCACCCCCACCCTCATCACCTCATTTCACCTCCTCCTCATCTCATCTCATCTCATCTCACCTCATCTCATCTCATCTCATCACCTCATCTCATCTCATCTCACCTCACCTCACCTCATCTCATCTCATCTCACCTCATCTCACCTCACCTCATCTCACCTCACCTCATCTCATCTCATCTCATCTCACCTCATCTCATCTCATCTCATCTCCCCATCTCATCTCATCTCACCTCATCTCATCTCACCTCATCTCATCTCACCTCACCTCATCTCATCTCACCTCACCTCACCTCATCTCATCTCACCTCATCTCATCTCACCTCATCTCATCTCATCTCATCTCCTCATCTCACCTCATCTCATCTCATCTCACCTCATCTCATCTCATCTCCTCACCTCATCTCATCTCACCTCATCTCATCTCATCTCCTCATCTCATCTCATCTCATCTCATCTCACCTCACCTCACCTCACCTCATCTCCTCATCTCATCTCATCTCACCTCATCTCATCTCATCTCATCTCACCTCACCTCACCTCATCTCATCTCATCTCATCTCATCACCTCATCTCATCTCATCTCATCTCATCACCTCTTCTCATCTCATCTCATCTCATCTCATCTCACCTCACCTCACCTCATCTCATCTCACCTCACCTCATCTCACCTCATCTCATCTCATCTCATCTCCTCATCTCATCTCATCTCATCTCATCTCATCTCATCTCATCTCATCTCCTCACCTCACATCTCATCTCATCTCATCTCATCTCATCTCATCTCATCTCATCTCATCTCATCTCATCTCATCTCCTCATCTCATCTCATCTCATCTCACCTCATCTCATCTCACCTCATCTCACCTCATCTCATCTCATCTCCTCATCTCATCTCATCTCCTCATCTCACCTCATCTCATCTCATCTCACCTCATCTCATCTCATCTCCTCATCTCATCTCATCTCATCTCCTCATCTCATCTCATCTCATCTCACCTCATCTCATCTCATCTCATCTCCTCATCTCACCTCATCTCATCTCACCTCATCTCATCTCATCTCATCTCCTCATCTCATCTCATCTCATCTCATCTCACCTCATCTCATCTCATCTCATCTCACCTCATCTCATCTCATCTCCTCATCTCATCTAATCTCACCTCATCTCATCTCATCTCCTCATTTCACCTCATCTCATCTCACCTCATCTCACCACATCTCATCTCACCTCATCTCACCTCATCTCATCTCATCTCACCTCATCTCATCTCATCTCCTCATCTCATCTCATCTCATCTC